AGTGGGGAGAGTTTGGGAGAGGAAAAAGTAACAAAGGAAGGGTCTAAGATAGGGGTCAGAGCAGGACAGGGAAGGGCAGGGTTGGGATTTTAATCCCATGGTCCCGGAGACTTGGTAAACCGCACAATTATCAATGTTCCCAGGACGAAACGCAGGAGAAGATCGAAGTCACAACCCCACTTGTTTTCTAATAAAACAGAGTCGCCCTGGGCTGGCCTTTACCCCAATCCTTAGTGTTTGACAAGCTCCTAATTTGTGCCTCAGAATTCTAGGCCGATATTTCTATTGTCTTTCAGCTCGGGGGATTTCATTCTCCCTTATTTTTTGTTCTCCAAAAAGGAAATGATGAGGGATCCCGCGTACAAAGATGGCGTCAAAAATCCCGTGAAGTGATCGCTAACAAGGTCTGGGGCCTTTCTGCGTCTCCTTCTCTGAAAACAAAGTCTTGATCATTGGTGTTCATAATACCCGACCCCTATGGACATGCGGTTAAATGAGCAACAACAATTTCCTTTGAAACCCGAGTTTTCTTCCCGATTCGTGCATGCTGGCGCGCGTGCCCCGGTCCCGCCCTTGTGACACAACATGAGGTCATTATGTTTTCAGCACTGAGGGTTCCTTGGATCAAGTGTTACACAACAGCTGAGAGGGAAGCTCGGAATAGACGTTTTGTGATCCGAAACCAGAAATAAATCTCGTGAAGCGATGATGTTTTAACGTCTTTCTGGAGATATTCTTCAGTTATTTGCGCAACGACTACCAGTGCGACAAAACGACAGACGCAAGAAAACATTTCTATCTACAATCTTTTATTAAAAAACGATTTGATATTTCTTTTGGACTCAGCTTCAAAGCTCACATACCTTTAATGAATGATGGGCACTTAGACTCTTCGAAGCTAACCTTGAAACTGCTCTCATTATAATCATATTGATAGAAGTGTACACTTTAATTCATTTTTTAGTCCGTGCAATATCATTAAGACTAAGAGAATCTGAGCACGATAGCTAATGTGGCGAGACACTTGGCATTAACGTGAAAGTTTCAAGGTTTTTTTTTCTCTTTTTTTAAAACTCCATCCATTTGGCGATACAAGCTTAATCGGAGGTCTCTATCTATTAACCTAATTTGTTTTGAGGGAGGGGAATCTTAAACTCAGTCGCAACTCTTAGCTTTGTCCCGACATCTCCGCTTCATTCACT